ACTGGTAACCAAATGCCACATGTTGATAGGATAGTTTGAAAGAGATCAGCTTTGTTCAAGGAAGCTATTCTCTAAAGTAGAGATGACCAAAAACAAAAGCAACCAAACAAGAACATTGTATCTCTTCTAAAAAAATTATACAAAAGAATTTAAATATGCCATGCAAGTCTGAATGTAGATGTACATTTCGCAAATGTACATATAAAAATATTGACTGTTTCTCTCTCCTTTTTTCCTGTTTAAAAATACTTGTTGATTAAAGATTATTATTTTATATTAGCTTTTGTGTCACAGCCAACTAAAAATGGGAAACCAAGCTTATTAAAAAAAAATCTGCCCACTGTATATTGTGTAATTCGGGCCAACTTTACACAGAATAAGTTTGAGTCACGATTTACTATAGAGAAGTTTAAAAATGTAAATGTGTTGTAATTACAACTGATCTTCATGTGTTATATTGGTGCTTATTTCTTATTTGTCTTCAACCCATTTTCACTTATATGTGGGATCCTTGGTGCTCTCTGAGCTTAATTGTTTTCTTGCAGATGTTCCATTACACAAACTAGATATATATCATCAGCACTGAAGTTGTTACCTAGTTTGGGTAATGAAATGTCTGCAAGCAACCAACCAAGCCCAAATATAAAAGCCCTCCTTTTATATTTTGTTTTAAAATAACAATCTGATCTGCAGATGAATAGTCTGTAGTTACTGTCAGAAGTCACTCCAGTGAATTTTAGCAGTAAGAGAGGGGGATTGTTGTGACAGTATTGACCTAGATTTAACACTTCACCAACCTATTCAGAGATGACCTCTACATAAAGATTTGCCACTCATTTTGGACTTGGTACAATATCATTGCCCTGCTACCATCATTGGCCTCCAAAGATCTTCCTAACTAAATTGGAGCTTCCAACCAATAAAGATGACACATCTCCTGATTTAAACATTTGTTAAAGAAGAATCAAGAATTTTCTATTAGAAGATGTCAAAGAAACATAAGAACATCTTAAAATATCTGTAGTAGTGCCCCTGCCTTCTGGAATAAGGTCCTCCCTAAGATCTGTATGGATCCCACCTTGATGGATAGTTACTCAAATCTTTGGGTAGAAGGGATGACATTCCACTGTTTGCAATATTTTTTGTTTTGCTTTGTTGTTTGGATTGCCATTTTGTACTTATTTATACTTATTCCAGTTATTGTTCAAAATTTTGTTGTTTTTATGTTACTCTCATTGTTGTGAGACATCCAGCAATGTGTGGAGTTGGGTGACATCCAAGCTGAATAAATAAATAATAAAATATAATTCTAGGAAGGGAAAAACATTATGAAGAATAAACTGGTTATATGGTTTTGCAATTTGTTTTTAAAACTACCAATTTAAATAATTTGTTAAATAATATAGGCAAATTCTATGCAGGTTTACTCAGACTAATGTCCCAATTGTAGGAGATGACCAGGCTGAGCTTGAGGGAGGGGACAAATCAGTGGTAGTATTCAAATAAAATTGCCACCGGTTTGCTGGGTGTGGCTTGGTGGGCGCTTTGCGCATGTGCACACACTTTGTGTGCACATGCACACCAAATGTGCACTTTGCACAGGTGCAGAAGCATTTGCGCAGGCACAGAGGCGTTCTAACTCATCTCCTGCAAGCCTGCACGATGCTGGTTGCTGCAGCAGCTGCCACGCGGCGCTATTCTGCACTGCGCAAAGCAGCTGCACTTTGAATTCTGGCCATAAAAGTGAATATGGGAATCCAGGCAGGCAGGTGGGTCAAACACAGAGCAGTGGAAAGAACCAGTTCTGTCTCTGCTGCTCATCCCCGCTACCAGGTCTCCAGAACTGGGCAGAACCGGTCGAATACCACCACTGGGTCAAATGCATCATCAGTCATGAGTTCCAGGGCACCTGCCAAGAGATCTAAGTCCAGCACACCTTGAATTCCTTTCTATTCTTAACTCCAACTAATTTCTCTTGACTGCTAATAATTCAGATTAATATCAAGCACTAAGGAAATTAGGAGATCCAGTAGTTCAAATAAGTAGTTCAGATCTTTATAAAAAGCTTAAGCTTACAATAAATCTTTATATACATTTGAACTGCCTGGTCTCCTGATTTACCTGGTGCTTGACACCAATGTTATCAGTATGCATTCAGATCCTATCTTAGCAAAGAAAACTTTAAAAATCAAACTGGTAAGGTTAAAAATGTCAGGGGTTGTATCTGTAATCTAATAACTACAGTAATAGAAATAGAATTGAGGAAGCAATAGAATCAGGCAAGATAAGATTTTCAACACAATGCTTCAGTATTTTTGCTTTGTGTAATATTCACTAATAATAGGAAGCACCAGCAGTCAACAGAAAATAAATGGAAAAAGAAACAAAATGAAACTTATTTTAGTAAAGTGAAAGTTAGAAATTAATATGCTCTTCAACTATTTCAATCTGTATTTAGTGAAAAGATAAGACAACTTTAGAAATAATAATATCTCTACGCCAACATTACAGGCATCTCATGGGTGGAAGTAGGGGAATGTTCAATCACCCAAATTTCTTCTCCACAGTACCATCTGTCTCCGATCCCATCATTCTCCTGACAGTTTAATTACCATTTACACCAATGTTTCTCAACCTTAACCAAATTGCTGTGGAATTCTAGGAGCTGAAGTCCACACATCTTAAAAGTTATTGAGGCTAAGGAATGCTGGTTTAGACTGCTAAATAACTAACCAAACAAACCAACAAACAAAATCTCCTGAAAGCAATGTGATCAGAGTCCAGAAAATGTTTCTAATATGAATTAACTATAGTCTACATGGGAGTCTTTTTGAAATAGATTGGAAGGAGCAATAGTTGGTAGTTTAGTTTACTGCATTGCATTTCCATATCACACCCAAAGACAATCATAGCCAAGTACTGAGACAGCATAGAAACATTACTTGATGTATCTTTAACCAAAAAGTAAATATACTTTCAGAAGTGCTTTCAACAATGTAAATATTTGTGCTTGCAAAATTCTTGCACAGACATGTCAGTGAACAGATTGTTACCATAAGGCTCATTCTTAAAAGTTGCATTTTTTATTTTACTAAATTATCTGTGTTAAAAACAAATCTGTGCCTGGTGTGGATTTTACTGCATTAAGTATTACAAGTAGCAGAATGCATGACATGTAAGAACATGTGTTAGACAACACAGAAATAAATTAGCATATAATTTACAAAAGCAAAAACAATTATAACAATGTAACAGTGTACCACATAATACTGAATATAAAACAAGAAGCAAATAATCACAATAAAATAATTCATTTTCATTCTGAATTGTTAAGGAAAATTTTGTTATCCATAGCATCAATGAACCCTTCTAAAAAAAACCCTGGATGTATACTTTGACTGAATTGTACTGAGTCAGATAGTTTTAACTGGTGGCATTGCTCAATGGAAAAACCAACAGCACATTGTGTTTAATATCTGCCCCAGAACTGTTAGTCTTCCCATCTTGATGCAGCCTATACGAACATCATATTCTCATTATTTATGAATATAATACTTGGTCTATTTCATCATAATTACATAAATGGCTGTTGTGTAGTAGCCACAATGGCCTGTGCTGTCAGAACAAATGATTTTTTATTCAGAATTTTACTGGGATGAGACATTATATATATATATATTGGTCCATTCATAATTCAAATACATTCTGTGTTTTTTTTCCTTTTAGCAATGCAAGTCAAAATTGCTCCAAGGAAAGAGTTTCTTAAATTCCAACTCATTGCTCTTTTTACACTTCAAAGTAAACATTGGACTCCCTGGTCATCTAGCACCAATGAAAGAGCAAAATATGCTTGCAAAAGCAGTCTTTGCAAAGGCAATGTCCTAAATGAGGTAAGAATAAATTCCACCATTTCTTGCTAGTTGAAAAGTCACATTAAGTAATAAATATATTGATGTTTCAGAGGAACCAGAGGATGTTATATTGTGGTATCTTACCTGGAAAATGTCCTCATGACAGCTATCTCTTCTATTATACCTTTGCATAATCAAGGCATATTGGCACCAATATATTTTCTTAATGAACAAATATACAAAGTAATTTACCCACTTATTATGTTGCTCTCATGCCTACATATTAACTCCTAAATGTATATAGTTTTCCTTCCTCAGTATTCATTCCACTAACAGTTGTGTGCATTGCAACTGAGCAGTAAATGGCTCCGGGTAAGGCATGATGCCAAAAAGAAATTCTGCTCACGTGTATGTGGAGATGACTGTCAAGAGGTAGCAACTGACAGGAGCTTGGTGGTTATGGTCTACAGAAAACCCTACAGAAGGATTGTCAAGATTTCTGCATAGCACAATTCTCTCCCCCCTCGCTCTCTTTCTCTTTCTCTATTTCCTGTTAATTCACATTAGTTAAGCATCATTCAACACATTTGGCTTACTGCAGTTCATTAAATATATTGACACATTTAGATACCATAACATGTTAAAAAACTTGTCTCATTAAGAATATTATTTTATAAAAGTGCCATTTAACTTCTAGTATTAATACAAGGTGGTGTTGGTGTTCACATCATCATCTCAATTGCACTACAACAAAGGAGGCAAACTGGTCACAAAAGCACATTCATCAAGGACCTGCTGCAAACTGCAAGTGTTCAAGTACAATATAATAATATAAACAAGTACCCACTTTCCTTATCTCTTTGTTGTGTCACTGACAAAGAAGGGAATAGGAGTGGGGGAAGTATGGCCTTCAGGCTTAGCTCACAATGGATTTTGGAATCTGTTTAATCCAAGGAGCTTGGCTTCACATTTAAGTACATTTCAGAATATTATTAGACTGATATAGTGAATATAAGAGTTATGGCACTCCAACTTAAAATATTTTATCAGTTATGTGTTTTTGGGTTGTTTATTTTGTAACTGTCCAAAAGTGAAAAAACTCATATTTTCTATTCTTTGTATTTTCTCGTTCTATTGTTTCATTGAGGAAGAAAATGAACACCCAGAAGAGTTTCAGCATGATTATTAGAAGAGACTATTCTCCGCTATGCAGCCAGTTCATCATTGATAATTACACAGTAATTAGTTGCTACAGAGATGCCTTTCTGTAACTGAAGGGAGAAATGGTGAATTTGAGAAGATTTGTTTTAAGCATTCTCTACATAAGTACTGAAATAGTAGTAAATATGTTCTTCACAATTGGAGTATGAATACATTCCCTTTAGTAAAAATCCTGATTTATTTGTAAAATGGCAAAATGGCTATAAACCTGCAGCACATATTTATTGTTTGATGCAATTAGGTAATAAATACCTGATGCATTTTTCATAGCTTTATATATGGCTCACTGCAATCCTCTGGAAATATGGATTATCCTTTAAAGAATTAGATGAAACAAAGGAAAATACGTTCGTTTTACTTTGGATTTATAATTGCTTCTAAAATAATATTCCCAAGCCCACTTCTTTACCATAAGTTGTGGTGCTATATAGTAAGATAAAATAATTATTAATTATAAGCTATGATAGGGTTTTTAAAATTCTTCTTTACTTCTATAGATGACCAAATCATAAGAACAATATTAAATACAAATGGATTCAGTGTCACTGCTAGGTCCATAATAACAATTATTTTAATGGTCCAAGGAGGTAAACGGGATTTAGCTGAAAGTACACATATGTTCGCTATGTACTGGGTATAGTTTTCCGTTTTGGCATTGCCTCCTTATACTGTGTCCAGCACTTTGGATGAATAAATCCCACTTCACGGAAGTTAAAATAACTTTGCAATTCTGTCAGCTGGAGCTGACCAGTGGTTATATTTTCCACAGGGTGATGAATGTAGACTATCTGACTGGTTGCACTGTGCAGAAATCTTAGATGGACACATTTGCACAATGAAGCAACAAGGCACTTTCAGTTTCTGTGGGTCAATGTCCTTGGCAGGTCTTGCAGCACATCTGTCTGAAGTACGCTCGACTGCAGAATTTGAACTTCAGCACCAGTGGGCAATAAGCCACTTTGTTCACATCTTTGCATTCTATTTGAGATACACAATGATTATATTGTTACATAAATTTAAAAGATGCACATTGAAAAACAAATATCATTGAATAAAATGCTTCTTATACTTATTCTACTAAAGCTTACGGTCTACAAAATAATGTCAACATTCAGAAAGGGGTTTGGTCAAAAGTTTATTTTCTTCAAAATCCATTCCAAAATGAATATTTCCACATGGCTTATGGTCACAATCTTTGAATCAGATTGAAACAAAGCTTAAATATATATACAACTGCATTTGCTGAAACTCATATTTTGTAAACTGGCTCCATTCAGACTTTTTTGCTTTTTTCCCTACTGAGACTGCAAGGTCTTCTGTGCAAGGCCCAGCCTCTTGCGTATGTTTCTTTGTAGCACTTTATATACTCTTATACTATTAAATAAGTAAATAAATAAATCTCGAACTAGATTTAAAGAATAGGTAGTCATCACTAAAGAAGCTTTGGATTCATGCCACCAGAGAGAACCTGCCATTCAAAAGAAGAAAACATCCTATTTTCAATTCGGTACATCAAAGCACACCAGAAATATCTTGTTGGATCTCAGCCAAAATATATCAAGCCCATTTTTATAGTTCTGTCATAACAAGACATAGAATGAAGGGCAGGTGCATGAAAAATGAGCCAGCATACTGAGAAAGGAGACAATAAGCTAAAGGTAGGATATAGCTAAGGGTGGGTAAATAATTTGAATCTGATTGCAAATATATTCTTCAGTCTTGGTTAAAACCAATACAGAAAAAAGAAGCTGAGGGAAGACACTGTTCTGGCTAGCAGGTGGACTGAAATGTCTTCTATTTAATTATGACCCACAGTTATCCTGAAGCAGATGGAAGAACATTTGTAGAACATATTGTTATACTGGAAAGAATGTTTCTAACAAAGTCCACACATTCTTATTCCCTTTCTGATCAAAGTGATTTTCAATTGACTTCTGTGAAATAATTAAATCTGAAAAACCAATTTTCAGCTACTAAAATATTTTAAAAGACAAAGCAACCAAAAAATTAACTTCTGTACAAAGACCAATAAAAGAACAGCAAAACTATCTTGATTTTATGAATGCCTGTTTTAGAAATTTATAATATTTTAAAGTATTAGATATACTACACAAAATACACACCGGTAACATCTCACTTTGAAAAACAAAAGTAATGTCTGATTATTTAAAGCACTGTCTGCTCCCTAGGGCTAAGAGACAGTGATTGGCCCAAGCACTAGAATTCATAGTCTTTCAGTTTCTCATCTGGCCCTTAACCACTGATATTAAAATGCTGTAATTTTCCAGTTAAATGTTTAACAAGAGTTATAACGGATATTAAATGTGATGAGTTGTCATTGTTAGATAACCAGATATTTTGTTTATATTCATTTATGAGCTAAACTTGCCAAAGATGAAACTGATAATTTCCTCTGTTTCAAAATAGCCTATCATTTAAACTTAAATTTAAAAAAAATCTTTAAAAGAAATTAAGTCAACTGGAGCATGGATTCCAATGGGAATCAAAGAAAATTCTAGGGCACCAACCATGCTAGGTAATAAAATTCATTCTGAATATTATGATTTATATTAATATTTTAAAATGATAACATTAGCAAAAACAACTTTACCTTCTGCATTAGAGACAGGGGTACTGTCACATTTGCTCTCACACTGCTGCATTGATGGAGGCCGAAGAGTATCAGGGCAATCACTGGAGCCTTGTCCAGTATATGAGAGACATTGCACAGTTCTCATCTGTTGTCCAAGACCACACTGTGCAGAACACTATGTCAGAAAAAAAACGAAAAGGAGGGAGGGGGAACAAATGTCAAAATAACTTTAAAAAAGCAGTAAGATCCTAAACTTACTTACAATGCTTGTGGAAACACTATATAGGACAGTGGTAGAAGTCTGATTAGAGCTACATTGCACAATGTAATTCAGCCAGTGTAAAGGTAGTTCTTAGTTAACAACACAATTGGGATTGACATTTCTGTTGCAAACGATGCTGTCATAAAGCATAATATTGCATAACTGCACTCACTTCCAACACTTCTGGCTGCCATCATTAAGAGAATTCCATGCTTTTCTTAAGCAAGGACATCGCATAGCTACCATTTGCAACCAAAGCTAGCTATGGTGGGCAAACACAACTGTTCTTATTAAAAAGGGTAATGACTGGAAATAAGGAAATGGAACCTCCTGCATTACTGGTTGATAAGAGAAGTATCCATTTAACAGGCAGAGTTGTTTTTTGAATTTTTTTTTACTATATACTGGCTAATAGCTGTCACTGAAAACAGAGTCATGCAATTTTGCTACTTTATTTTGTTGACATAAGAGAGGCAAATGAGATGGGAAATGTGCTGTTTGTTAGTAGATACATCATAGACACAATTTAATGGATTTTTGAAAAATGTTCTTTCCATTGCAAACAAAAATGATCTATTGTACCAACTATTGTACTATGGGTGCAAGCAACAGTTATATACTTATTTCACATGGTGACCATTTGGAAGCCTCAAAGAATATCCTTTGAATATGGCAATGTGAAATAAAAGGAGGCTTTTCTTCTTAAATCTATTCCTGAGGTCTGTGAAGTCATACCCAAGTTTTTTCACCTAAAGTCATTTGAGGGAACCATTATAGAAGCCGATGAACATATATATCAGTGTAAATTTATTCGTAAGTGTTGTATGTTAGTTATTGTTGCAGAAGACTCACAGATCTAGTCCTTGAACTTCAGTACCACTTTAGACATTCAAGAAGCCTGCCTACATTACCTGTCCCCAGTCTCCTGTGACCCATCGTGGTGGAGGACACCTGCCCAAGCTACAGCGCATGCGGACAGGAGGCTTGTTTTCTTCTTGGCAATGTGCAACTGGAAATGTTCTTGAAAGATCGCTGCTTTTGCAGAGAACAATACGATGCTTAAAACCAGGTCCACATTTTGGAGTACACTATAAGCCAAACACACACATGATTTTTAGAATCAAATACTTTCAATTATGAAAAGCTGAAAACATTAACAACATAGCTCTATTAAAAAGGAAAAACTACAGTATATATTCTAAAGTTTGCAAACAAATTGTAATATTAAAAGTATTCATTATCACTAACATTTTGGATATTGTGTCATAATTGCACATACTGTAAACTTGAAAAATATTTTAGAAGTTTTACATCAAATGAAATGGTTAATTCACTTGTAAGGCACAATAACATATCAACAACTCTGTACACTGAAGTATGTTATTTAATAGGTAAAATTAAAACTTTAAATCTAGATTGACACATACCATTTTCATTGGTTTTATTATCTATAAAAATGTTGTAAATCATACAAGCAAAGCAAAGTGTCTGTTCTATGGATTAAAGAGTAAAGAATGGTGAATGACATTGCTTTGCATCAGTTTCAACTTATTTCATGATAAATTGAGATTTTGGGAAAGGGAAATGGAGAAGTACCAATACTTTAGGTCATATCTGTGTTTTTTATAGATGGAGAGTTTAGAATTTTAAGTATTCTTTAAAACCATAACTTTATGTACTAATCTGTCTGCTGATAGAAACTTGGAAAGGTTTGAATAAGGATAAAATATGTGGGGTAGATGGGGTCTCATTTCCAGTTAAATAAGGAAAGAATTACTAGTTGGGAATAAAAAAAAATTCTTGCACTTCATTGCCCTGCACTTCCTATTCTCATAATTCTAACTCAATATGCAAAACAGACACTGAAAAATAAATTAACACAAATGTAATGTTACTATAAATTGCTCAAGAAATGTTCAGTAAAAGAATAATATGGAATTAAATAAATATGTTAATTCAAATTCATTAAATGTACTATTTAACACTGTGCACAGAATCAGCTCTTTTGAATTAATATTAATATCGAATTTAGAATTTGGATTATCAAGTTAAAAGAATCCATTTTTTTCAGTATGGAATAACAAGCTTCTCAATTTTTGTTTGAATACTAAAGGAATATAGCTGAAAGAGTATTGGCTAGTAAGACTCCTCATAAAATGCCAGCTACAAACTACATACAGGAAGTCCTTGTCAGGACCAGAAATTCTGCTGACAGGTGAAGCAGTTGCCTATCAGTGAGTGATGCCTGATTTTACTACTTTTTTGCCATGGTTGTTAAAATTATTGCAGTTATTAAATGAATCACAGGGCCGCTAAGTAAATTTAAATTCCACCCCCCCCGCATTGTCTTTTCTTATCAGAAGCTAACTGGAAGGTTGCAAATGGTAATCACATGACTCCAGGATGCTGTAATTGTCATAAATAGATGATACTGGTTGCCAAGCACCCACATTTTGATCTCATGGGGTTGCTGTGACAGGTTTAAGTACAAGGACTGGTTGTAAGTTGTTTTTTCCAATATTATTGTAACTATGAACAGTTACTAAATGAACGATTGTAACTTGAGGACTATCTGTAGTTCCATTTTAGTTTTACATTAGGATATTGTGCAATCCCAGACTATGCATGATTTACAGAAGACAGAAATGTGCTGGAAGATAATCACATTTAGTAAGTTAGAGTAGCAAGTTAGATACATTGTAATATATCCTGTTGCAGTATTGATAAGTGTAAAGTGGATACTTAAGGAGTTTTCAAGATCACTCACTTCTGACCAATCTAAAGGAACCCACTGTGGGGGGCAAGATTGATTGTTACAGGACTCTTTTTCAACTGGGTGATGTGTTAAACAATGAGTACTCTCCAATGTCTCTTCTTCAGAAGGTCCAATCTTCCTGATACATAGAACAGTTCGTGATCTCGTTCCTCCATCACAGGTCTTACTGCATTCTGACCAATCGCCTATAAACCATCTATCAAAAGAATATTAGAAAAAAATTATTAATTCAAGAAATGAATTTATTACTCCATACAACTTGAATGTGTATAACTGAAACGATGAGAGAACTACATACTGCATAAAAATACTGTATATAACAGTTCTGATTCAATAAATCAGAATTTTTGCAGTTTTAGTCTCAATTATATAATGCTGGCAAATACAACTGAGGAAGAAATTAATATATTTTACATAATATAGCTTCCCAAGATTTATTCTAGTGCTTCCTATCCTGCATTAAATTTATTAAAACAAGAAAAGATCTGTCCTAGATGGTTATTCTAGTAGTGTGCTAGAAGATATATCTCTGTCTCTGCCTCTGCCTCTGCCTCTATCTCTATCTGTCTGTCTGTCTGTCTATCTATCTATCATAATCATCATCATTTTAGCCATTGTCTATTGACTGCAGGATGAAGTCTTCTTCTGTATGTTTCCAACCAATATGGTCCTGAGCTTTCTTTTGCCAATTGGGCTCGCAGTACTTGCTGATGTTACTGATCCATGTTGTTTTAGGTTTTTTCATGGATGCTTTTTATCAAGTGGGATCCATTATGTGACTGGTCTTCAAAGACAATCCTACAAACTATATCCTGCAACAGTCTCATGTGGAATTTAGATAAGCATATTACTGTTCCAGAATGGATCACAGAAGTTGCTAGTAACGAAATCCACCTAGCTGACTTTCTAGAGTATTTGCAAGGAGATAAGCTGTGGGGAACAGTGAATTCTCAAAAGTTATTTTAAAAAGTGCTAATTAAATTAGCATTAAGTTATTTATATTTTATTTATGACTAATAAAATGGCAGGTCACTTGCATTAGCAAGCCACAAAAATGCATAATTTCATTCATTCACTGAAAAGTTATATTCAGAGCTGTGGTGGTACAATGATTAGAATGCAGTATTGCAGGCTAATTCTGCCAACTGCCAGCAGTTAGAATCTCACCAGCTCAAGGTTAACTCAGTCTTCCATCCTTCTGAGGTGGGTAAAATAAGGACCCAGATTGTTGGCGGTAATATGCTGACTTTGTAAACCGCTTAGAAAGGGTTGTAAAGCACTATGAAGCAATATATGTTTAAATGCTATTGCTATATATATAATAATTGTTGGTTGGATTCTTAATTCAATTTTGTACTAATTTCCCTGTGGTCCCATTGCAGTAGTTTCAGTCTGGATATATAAATAGCATGGAATAGAACAAAGAAGTACTTACTCAGGTGGACAAGGCTCAGTGTTGCAGGCTCTTTGATTTTCTGGTAGTTTACTATCAGGATCACAGTAATTGTTCTGGACTACAGAGCTGTCATCTAACCTTTTGCATACTATTTCTTGTTTCTGCATACCTTAGGAAGGAGTAGAATGATATTGGTTTTATTTTCCCCCTGATTTTAAACCAAGCAAATCTGAGACCCTGTAGCTCAGTTAAATCATAGATTATAATCTACCCTGGATTCTCTGGCTTTCATGATTTTACTTTCTTGAAGGTATACAAAAGGAAAAATTCAAGTATCTGCTAGATGGTTGTCAGCAACATTCAGTTCTAGAGATGCCCTTTCCTGTTTTATCAGTTAAATTGTAAATTCAATAGAGGTGCAGCTTCTATACCTTCCTTTCCACAGGTGGGGTTTCTTTTCTTTTTTTGCAATTTAAAGTTGATTTCAGATATCTAATTCTTACACATTCGTCAGTAATTTTATTTTTTATTTTCTTTAATATGATTTTGATTAATTGATTAACTGATATAGATGTCACCAATTACCATGACTTGTCTCGAAGGATATTTCAACACAATGTGTATTGGTACATATATTTCTGAGATAATGATTTCTTAATCAATATCACTATAGGAAGATATTTTCATTTGTAAAAGTAAAAAAATAAAATAGAAAAACTAAAACAATATTTATCTTAAAACTTGAGTTTCTATTAATGTCAATTAAATGGTTGGATTGAAAAATATCAAAATCTATCTTTAAAATAATTATGTTTAAATGAAAAAATAGTCTTTCAATACATGAGATCAATTAATAGAAAATGGAACTGGGAGAATCTGAAATAGGTTTTTTGGGAGAATCTGAAATAGTTTTTTTGATAAAATATTTATCCGTCTTTGCTTTGCCAAATAATAATGTAACTCTATTATTACAAGTTCTTATTTTAATATTGTGCCAATATATTCTTAGTATTACTTCTAATATCTAAAACTATCTGAAATAATAAGAAATCACATTACTTCATGAATTTGTTTTGGGATAATTCTTTTGAGTGTCTTAAAAAACTAAATGGATAGTTTTCAGCAGAGGAATTACACAATGTTAATATTTTAAATATTCTTATTTTTCCTAACGTTATTTGCTAATATTTCAATAATCACAGCAGGTGGCAGTATCTAGCTGGCCAATATTGAAAAGCTAAGCAAGGTCAGACCTGATTAGAACAGTTATTTTTCATATAGGAGCTATTTATATAACACAGATTTGTTCCTAATAATTAATAGAGAAATGATGTCTATATACCACAAAGCACAAGGATGTCAGGCAAAATTAAAGATGTCAGCCACAATAATGGATGTCAGCCACTTAGAAAGAGTTGTTGTACTACTTGTCAAGTATGATACTGGTTCTTTGGATGATAACTATGAACGGGTAAGAGTGTGTCTGTTAAAACTAACATTAATACTTGGGGTACGATGACTGATACCAGTGGCTCAGCATGCTTCCAAGAATGTAATAGTCATTTTAGAAAAACAGCCAGATCAATAATGGGAGCCATATATCAAGCAGTGAAACAACTCAGAATTTAGACTTTTGCGCCAGTACTAAAACAACCAATAAAAAGGAGACCAATTTTGGATCCAAAATCTATCATCCGTTAGAATGGCCAATAAAATAAAGCACTAGATATTGTTTTAATTTCTTTAATCCAGACTTCTGTGAATTTCACCTTCAAAACAGAATCCCAAGTAGTAATTGTTTTTTCAAGTACAATACTTAGCTGAGAGGGCAGCAATAGCAGTTGAGAAGGGTTGATTAATTCAAAATTTCAATATCAGTAGTTTTATGATATTGGTAGCAAATGGGACTTATCCTTAATATAAATGCCAGATCTTATAATGGGATTCACCATTGCAAAGCCAAACACTGTATATTTTATTGAAATATATTCCCTCTTTAGATTCTTGAAAATGAATTAGTTGGTATTGATAGGACTGATAATATTGAAGCTAAAGTTATCAGTGCAAATGGTTAATTTAATAGTGGCTTTGGTGTTTTTAAGGAAGTATTATATGTAGATGCTATCTTTGTAATGGTTAATATTTGAGCACAGAAGTATCAGACTTAATGCTTAAAGCATTCTTCCCACAGCAGATTCCACCAATGGGTGAATTTATTATGCCATGTCTGTTTGGTGAAAGGTCTGGCAACTGACTCAAGTGTTTACAATTAAGCTCAAACACAGTACCATAAAAAGTATCCCTCTGGTGGAATTAATTTTCATATCTATGAAGTAGGCATTAGAAGCATATATGATAAAGCACAGGGAGGGATCCAATACTCCACTACATAGTCCTGTGATTCTATCATACAAAAATTTTATCACATAATTGCTATTATGTTGCTCTCAGAAATATGCTAGGACTTCTGAAATATAAAATCAGATTATGGAACATAATTTCTAAATTAAATTGTTGCCCTTCTCAGAAACGAATGGAATATATCATACCAGACCTCTAAACTTGTACAATCTTGCCCAAATAAATATATGATGGTGTATAGTTAAACAAGACACTCAGCCCCAAAGTTTGGATATGTCATTGTGGCTGGATATACAGCTTCAGTTCCCACATGGAGTATCATTCTGGAAAATATCTTGCATCACAAATTGTTTGATTGGAAGCAATCTTTTCACATCTTATTTATCCAATTTATATTTAATTTTATATTTAATATTTATATTTAATGATTTGTGTGTAAAAATATTTTTCTCAATCTTTGAAATTTTAAGATGTATGAACTTCACCTCCCCAACCAGCATGCTGGCTGCAGAATTTTGAGAGTTGAAGTCTACACATCTTAAAATTATCAAGAATAAAAAACACTGAAAAATCTATCCATCTATCAATTTCTTGTTTTGTCTCCACAAGAATATTGTTTTGTGGGGGACCAACGACTAGTTACAAACCATTTCTGAAACCATTGCCTCCTTCCCAAGGCAAAGAAAGTGACTAGCCCAAGGTCATCAGCAGGCTTTGTTCCTAAAATGGAACTAGAACTCGTGGTCTCATGATTTCTGTCCTGATACTGTATCTACACCAAAGTTGCTTTCATGTAGTATAGGTAAATGTGTAACTATTTTATAATTTAATCTACAATGTTTTATTATATAACTACAATAAAGCCAACAAAGAATAAATTTTAAGAGCAAATTGCTAACAAAATATCTTTAGGTTTGTTAGAAATAGCAAACAGATTAAAGGTCTTGTGGCCCGCTGACAGCTAGTAGATCTGGCAGCAGAGTCGGACAGTGAGGAGGTTGGGGAGGAACATGGCCGAGACCTGGAAGCTGAGGAAGGCTCAGACGAGGGCTCTGCGTCAGAGGCAGAGATGGGGCTAGGGCAGCCTGGCAGTCATCAGCTGCCTTCAGAGTCAGACAGCAGTGAGGTTGGGGAGCAGCTGGAGCCAGTTTCCAGCCTGCACATATGAGCTGCCAAAAGAAAAAAAAAACAATTACAAACTAAGGGTTGACATGGGAGTAAGGCCACAGTGGGTGGATGGTGAATGTACCCTCCCATAGGGATTAAAAGAGGAGCAAAAGGGGAGGAGGCTTTTGCGGGAAACAATTCATTTGTTGTAGCAGTGTGAAGATCTGTCTGTGCCAAGCCTTTCCTTGTCAGCACTGCGTTTGAAAATATTTACTTGGCAGCTCTTCAGGCTAGATAAGGTCTGTGCTCCTAATTAGACCCTTGAAAGACTGTTTGCCAGGCCTTTGGCTGAATGTGTATGCAAAAAATTCACCTTTGTTTAATAAAAGGAGGGTTGCCAGGACAAAAAGTCTGCTTAGTGCTTTTGGGGGAAGCCTAGGTCAGAACAAAAGGATTGCTCAGATTAATATCAAAGTGGCAGAGTAGTAAAAAGAAAGACAAGCAGCTTACAGAGAATCTGAATCAATTACTTTAACATATACTGAAGAAGAAACTGAACTCAGTCCCAAAACCTAGATAATAACCACATAATAGTTATTGTAGTATACTCTTGAATTTAAAACAATCTAGATTTGTCAACTCGCACTAAAACCGATCCCTCAAGCAATGTATATACTATTTATTATTTAGCATATGGCATACAATGTCAGGAAAATCTACATATGCTAGACACAATGCAGTCCTGACAGCCTAGATTGCCAGTTCATTTTGTTCAGGGCTTGTGAGCCTATTGCATGAGGTGGTGGGGGGAAGTGAAGTAGCTTTACACCAATTAACTGGCTTAGTACTCAGGTTGTTGGCTCTTCCAGGCACCTCTACTGGTCTTTTCCTCACCTTGTCTTGTGCCACGATGCATCATGTCCACCACTGGCTTCCATTTTCTGCACATGTGAATGCAGCTAAGTTTTCCCCACTAAAGTGGTACCAATTTATCTAGTCACAATACTGCATGCTTTTCAACTGCTGGGTGGGCAGGAGCTAAGGATCAAGAGAAGGAGCTCACTCCATCTCATGGAGCCAGAGTGCAGACCATTTCTTCCCAGCAGTTCCAGTGTCATTAAGTCACTGTGTCACCGTGTCCCCTATATATACTTTGTGTGTCTGTCTATCTGTCTGTCTTTCTGTCTACATACTGGCCAGAACTGTGACCCAAAGCTAATATTAATGTACCTACTTTCAATTACTCTTATTCTCAAGTAATTATTCAAAAGGGCTGCTCTACCTAATCCAGTGGGTCTTCTAAATCCAGTCCTTTCATGCAAACTGAGATACAAGCTACAAAAGAAATCATTTAAGTAACAAAGAAATGAATCAATGGATTTCTTAATGCTAGTTCAAGCAGAAAGAAGCATCTGTATGGTCATTCCACGGTAAGTATTAATCAGCTTTGTAGCTGTTATTCTGAAATCAATATATTTAAGATTTCATCTCCTCTTCACTTTCATCAGGGTTATCCTATTACCATGCTTTCAGGAAATATAAGCTCAACACTTCAACAGGGAAAACAAATAAAACAAAACTCTTCTCTTCCTTTTATGTAAATACTTGCATAAAACAGAATGACAAATGGTTCGATTTTAAGACAGAAAAATAAAAACAAAAATAAAAAACACTTGATAGAAAACCCACAGCTATTAGCAC